CTGTTGTTGCGAATGAACGCCTCGTTCTCCACATCCATTGCTGCCTTCCACTCCTTCTTATAAGGCCCCGAGAGAGCTTCCTCTTTTGTGCGAGGAGTCAGAATGGTCGGGTTCTCGGTGAAGTTGAGGGAAGGGCAGTCAGTAATGTCCGGGAAGATGTGAGAGAGAAATTGGCAGATCGCGTGAAGGTCAAACATCTCCTCATGCTTGTCCTCCAGAAGTGCACGGGGGGGAATACGGATGGAGGGGACATCACCCCTGCCAGGAGGAGGCGGGGTGACCGAACACCGGATGGAGAAGGCGGCTGGTTCCCAGGCGAGAGGCGGAGCCGGTCCCTTGGAACGAGTGCGACTAGAGACCGGAGACGAAGGCGGCTGCGGTGGGACCGGAGGGACTGGGCGCCTCCGATAGGAGACTGGTGAGCCGGGCTCGACGCGCGGGGAAGGCGGAGCAGGAGGAGGTGCCGCTGCGGAGGATACTGGGGAGGCCGGGTGAGACACGCCGGACGGAGAAGGCCCCGGAGAAGGGGCAGCAGCCGGAGGTGGGGCATCGAAGTCTGCCCAAACAAGCGTCGGGGGAGGTGGAGGAGGCTCGCCCGTGGTCGCAGAGTGGAATGGGCGTGTCTCATCGAAGACGACATCACGGCTGCGAATCAGCTGTCTGGTGATTGGGTTGAGGAATAAGTAGTCTGGGGAGTCGGAGTTGTGCCCCAGGTACATGCAGGTCTGGGTTTTGGGACCAAGCTTGCCACCTTGCTTCCTGCGCGTGTGGGGGCTTAGCAACACATACGCGGTACACCCCCAGACGCGTAGAGAGCGGGCGGAAGGCGTGACCCCAAGCCAGAGAGCGGTAGGTGTGGTGTCGGGCCGGTGGGGATGCGGATAAAGATTGTAGAGGAGTGCCGCATGGAAGAGGGCATATCCCCAGAGTGACCGTGGTGCGTTGGCGTGACTGAGGAGGCAGCGAGCGATCTGAACCAAGGTGTGGTTGCGGCTCTCTGCAATGCCATTCTGCTGCGGGCTTTCGGGGAGCGTGAAGGTTTGCCGAATCCCTTGGGCCGCACAGAAGTTATCGAGTTTGCCATTGCGAAATTCTCCCCCGCCATCAGAATGGAGGCACTTCAGAGGAGTGCCGAACGTGACTTGAGCCTGGCGCACCCACGCCATGATGACATCAGCTGCCTCCGCCTTGGTATGCAGGAGGTGCACAGAAACATACCACGAGTGGTCATCGACTAGTGTAAGAAAGTACCGATGACCGCCTCGGGATGCGACTGGAGCTGGGCCCCAGACATCCATGTGCACTAGGTCCCACGGAGCAGCTGCGACGGATGGGGAGGAAGGGTGCGGCTGCTGCCTGAGCTTGCTCTTGGTGCAGTCCAGGCAGGTGGGTGCAGGTGAGTCTGTTGGTGGAGGAAGCGCCGATGGGAGGCCAAGAAGAAGTTTCTTGGAAGCGATGTCGGCAAGTGTACGGAAGTTGGGGTGACCCAAGCGATTGTGGTAGAGGATGGTTGGGTTGGCGAAGCTGCGACACGAACACGGAGTGGTGCTGGCAGTTTGTGCTTGGGAGAGGGTGGCGAGAGGTGCAGGTGAACGCAGCGTGTAGAGCTTGCTACTGTTGAGTGTGAAGCGTGCTAGGAGCTTGTTGGACTTAGGGTCGAAGAGGTCACATTGATCCGAGTGTGCTGGGAAGATCGTGGTGACGCCTGCCCGTTGGAGCTCGTGTTGGGCCACGAGATTGTGGCGTAGTGTGGGAACACACATGCCAGTCACACTGCCCGAAGGAAAAGCTGGGCACGGAACTGTGGAGGAGCCCTTGGCGTGTGTTGTAAAACTGGAGTCTGCTCCTAGTAGACGGATTGGTGTCTCGTATGGCTTGAAGGAGTGTTCTTCCTTGAGAACCGTGTGAGTGGCCCCACTGTCGAGGGTGAACTCTATTGTGGCTGAGGTGCTTTGTGAGCGAGGATACTGCGAAATCGTCTCATTAATCATGGCAGTGCCAGGGAACAACATGTTGAGGCGCACATCAGCAGGTGCAGCCACAGCAGCCTGCACGGATTCCTGCGCTTCGACTTGATTGACTTGGCGAGGAGCACGATTGACCATCCAGCTTGGCGGCTTGGAGGCGGTCCCATTGACGGCATACCACTCGTTATCCTTCTTCTTAAAGCAGGAGGCAAGGCCGTGGTTGGTGCCGCCACACACCTGGCCAGCACGAGGGCCGCGCTAGATGACGTAGGGACACGGGGGGAAGCGGTTGCGCTGGAATGGCACCGAAGCGGCATAGGCTTGAGGCACGGGAGCGCGGATTGCATTGGCCTTGGCTTGAGCGCTGTTGTCCTTTTCGGCAGAAAGGAGCGCGGATGAGACCTTGGCAAATGTGAGGTCTGTAGGAGCAAGGCCCAAGAGCATCTTGCGTGTGACTTCGTATGCCGGAGTGAGGCCGACTAGGAGAGCGGCTGCAGGGGCTTGTTCGGGGAAGACTATCCCCAACTGTTTGAGTTCACCATGAATGGACTGCACCTTGGTGACATAGTCCGCTATGCCTGGCGAGTCCTCGAGCCGCACTTGGAACATGCTGGGGATGAGTATAGCAACTCCCACTGCAGTCTTGTTCAGGAAGCGATCTTCGAGGTAGAGCCAAATGGCATTGGCAGATGGGTAGTTGTGGTAGGTTTCGACGAGTTCGGGAGGAGTGGTGCCCATGACGACACTAATGACCGCACCATCGGCCTTCTCCCAATTCTTGTAATTGAGCAGTGCAGCAGCATAAACTGCTTCGGCGGCGGCATTAGCTGGATCGGCGGACCTCTCGGGTTTAGGAGGCTCTTTGCCGTCACCGATGTTGAGAAGGACGTCGGTGAGCTCGAGCCCCTTCACCTCGCGACTGAGGAGGTGCTTGTCGACACCATAGCGCCAAGCCTTGTAGTTGGAGCATGTGCCGTCTGGCTCGAGACGAAGGAGCGGGATCCGGTTGGCGAGTGAAGTGGTTGAGTAAGCCATTGTCGGTGTGCAGCGCGGCACTTTTGGAAATTGGTCGACGAGAATTGCTGAAAATCACTCTGATGGCTGTATCAAAATGCCGCTAAGTAGGAAATGGCGTCGGCGAAAATTCGTTAAAACGCCGACTTGAAACTGAATCTGAGCCTATGTCTAACCCCGGACCCACACACCCCCCCACACACCCCCAGGCCCTGTCCCGCAACTACACAGCTCCGCAACCAGCTCCGCAACCAGCTCCGCAACCAGCTCCGTAACCAGCTCCGCTCCGCTTCAACCTGTGTACCTGCTCTTGATTTGACGCGAGACGTTCGTGGAGGCGATTTCGCGAGGGGAGTTCGCCTATTCTGGCGGGGTCTGAGGGGAAACTCGAGAACGAGTTTTAAGAGATGGTCGAAATTGAGATTCGACCAAGGAGAACCGAGGAGGAAATCGACGATGAGAAGCGTGAAAGCTTCAGAGATGAGAAATTCAACGAGGTCGAGCGCGAAGGCGGTCGACGATGAGAGGCGCGTTTGTAGAGTGGAGCACGTTGAAATTCCGACGACTCGAAACGAATGTCGCGACGATGAAGTGCGCGTAGCACGGGCACGTTCAGATTAGGACCTTGATCCGCGTGTGCGGATAGGTCGCTCTGATACCATATAAGAAATAGAGTTGAAATGATTGATTAGGTAAGGAGCCCAAGGCTCTATAAGTACATGGCAAGGTGAGAGAGAATGGATGAAGGGGGAATTGGAGGGAATCCCCATTGGGATCTCCGGAATCTCCAATTGGGTAATTGGAGATTGTGGGGATCACAATTGTGTGAGGTTGGGATTTGTGAGTACACCCCAACCCACTAGAACATTCACAACCTAAACTATGATATAAAAGTACAAATACAAAAGTGGTATTTGCAGTCTATTTCTAACAACCAGCAGCTCACCCCTCTGATTGAAGTTCAATCAATGCATCGGCTGAGGAGCCTGAGCCTTACTAGTGTTGGCTTCATGCGCGGAATGGTCGCTAGCATGCGCTTGTCTTCTCTGGAGGACTTGGACCTGCTGTTGACAGTGGAGGCAGAGGAGCTGCCGTTCCCCCTGGATTTATTCCCCAACCTCCGCCACTTAACAATCCGATGTGCCGCACGCATGACAAAGCTTCCAGGTGACATTGGTTTGGCATGGCAGCAGCTGAGGCAGCTGCACATACAGCAGGCTGTGGAATTAGAGGAGCCGGCAGGGAGGCTTACTGAGCTTCAGTGCCTGACGGCCTTTGAGATCCATGCGCCCAAGCTTTCCTCCCTTCCAGATGGCATCGGTGCCCTGTCCAGATTGCGTAAGCTGAAACTGTCAGACTGCTCCTCCCTCGAGCACCTCCCTGCTTCTCTCACCCAGCTCCCCTGCCTCCACAATCTTGACCTTTGCAACACCCCCTTGCGCGCCCTTCCTCCCAACTTTACACAACTGTCGGCTCAAGGATCTTGACCTGGATGGCTGTAGGCAGCTGGTTGCTAAGCCTGGGGATTTCACCCAGCTCAACATGCTTCATTGGTTGGATCTTTAAGGGTGTGGTGACACTGAATCTGATGGTGTTTCAGACATGAACGGATTGTACTAGTGCTTACAATAGGTAGTTGGGGGCGTACTGATCAGATTCGAAGTGACTCCTTAGGCTGCAACTCAGTGTCTATGCATGTGCTGCAACAAAGTTCGGTAACCAGCTTGCAGGATGCCACCTTCAGCTTCAACCTATGAGAGGTAGCAACTTCCAGTATGATGATGTGTCACAGCAAGAGACTGATCATGCAACTATATCATGAGGTTTAAAACAGTTGACTGAGCGCTGGTGGTGACTACGATTTGTATTCCCATCCCACAATGCAAAACACGATCACCCAAGTTCAAGGCTCTGGAAAGTACACTCTGCAAGGCAGAATCAAAGCACATCACATATTCCAGGAGCCAAGTACTTCAAAGAAAGAGGGCAGGAATGGATGCATCAAACACACCTCACCACCATCACCACCCCTGTTCGTCTCACTCCACCTCTTCCTCCCCACTGCCCTCTCCTTCCTCCCCATCCTCGTCCCACTCTCCCTCCTCAGCACCATCCGACTCCACGACCTCCTCCTCCTCCTCCTCCTCCTCCTCCTCCTCCTCCTCCTCCTCCTCCTCCTCCTCCTCTTCCCCCTCCTCTCCTTCTTCCCCTGCACTCCCCTCCTCCCCTTCATTCCCCTCCTCCCATGGCTCCTCCCCCCATCCTCTCGGTCTGAAGCACCCTTCGCATACTCTCCCTCCTCCAGATTTGCCGTCCCGTAAATCACCACCCTTCATCGCCTCGAGAGCAGGGGGCACTCAGTGACGATGCACGCCTGCAGCTTCGCCATCTCCTGCAGCCGCCGGGGCAAGTGCATCAGCCGCTTGCACCCGCTCAGCCTCAGCTCCTCCAGTCAGGGCAGCTGCGAAAAACATTTGGGCAGGCTGCAAAGATTGGGAAGTGTGTTCACAGTCAGGTCCTCCAGAGAAGAAAGCTTCCAAAAGTCCTCTGGAAAGCATGAAATCCCGATTCTGGAAAAAAGGCAGAGCTCCAGCCTCTTCAGACCGGGAAAGGACTCTGGGAGCTTGGTTAGCCTTGGGCTGTCATAGATTTCCAGAGCCTGAAGCATCTTCAACTGCCTGAATGACTCGGGCAGCTCGCACAAGCTCTGGAGATTGTCACTTTGGAGGGATGTAAGTGCTGACAGCCTCCCTACTGTTTCGGGCTGCATTAGCAGGCTCTTGGCATGGTTGATAGTAAGTGACTGCAGGTTTGCAAGTCCGTAGATGGAGTCAGGAAGGGAGCAGAGCCCATGATCCTGCAGGATTTCCAGCTTGCTAAGAGAAGAGAAGGAGCCCAGCAATGGACCGAGCACCTCAATTGGAAGGGCCATGATATTGAGCCTCTGAAGGGATGGAAACGACGCACTGCCACTGCTGCCACTACTGCAACCGGCCAAGGTAAGGCTCGTACTTCCCCCCTCAAGGTCATCCGTGCATGCTCCCATGTCTTCATCCCCAAACAACGACCCCAGCGCCTTGCAGAACACCACTTCCAGAACCCGCAGCCGTTGCAGCTGAAACAGCGAGCGCGGGAGTGACTTCAAGCCAGGTAAACTCGAGAGCTTGAGCTTCTCAAGCATCTCCAGCCATCCAATCTTCTCTGGCAGCTGCTTGATTCCCTTGCAGCTGGCCACCTCGAGGATGGTGAGAGTGCAAGCGAGGCCGGGGAGGGAGGTGGGGAGGGCGGACAGGTGCGGTAGGGAGGAGAGGGTGAGCTTCTTGAGGCTCCTCAAATGGCCAAAGCCGTCTGGTAGGGCGCCTCTGAAGCTCGTTGCATCACGGATCTTAAGGGTTTCGAGGGAGGAGAGGTTGGAGAAGGATGGGGGGAGGTGGGTGTGCACTGTACAATCCAGCAGGTGCAGCTTACGCAGGCTGTGCAGGGCATAACCCATGGCGTCAAGAAGAGCTTTCGTTGGCAGCAGTCGCTGATTTCCAGCACTTCCAGGGAGGATAGCAGACACAGGGAGTCTGGCTGCTGCCCCAGCTGCTTGCAGTCGGCAACTTTCAGCTCCTTCATTTTCCTCAGATTGCTGAGGGATTTGGGCAGGCCTTCCAACAGAGTAAGAGCTAGCAGGTGCATGGTCTCCAGAGCAGTCAGCTGCCCGAAATCTTCGGGCAGAGATCACAGAGACGAAATGATTTCCAGGGTGAGCTCTTGGAGTGCGGTTGCAAGGGTGAGGGTGGGAGGCAGGTGCATGAGATTCCCAGCGTCCACCGTGAGCGTCCATAGTTCCAATAGCTGACCAATCTCTACGGGCAGCAGAACAAGCCTTGCGCCAGCAACGTTGAGGTTCGTAAGTGAGGGCAGACTGGGAAGTGACAGAGGCAGATACCGTATATTGGAGCAGTTAACAGAAAGGAGACACAGCCGCCGCAGCTGCCCAAGACTCGCTGGCAGGAATGTGATCCCCCCCACCTCCTCTAGACGTAGGGTTTCGACCGCCTTCAGGTCATCGAGACTCTCGGGCAGCGGCGAAAGTTCTTGGCAGCTCAAAATTTCAAACGTCACTAGAGACAAAAGGTTGGAGATGGATTCGGGCAGCTGAAGCCTCCTGCGGCAGGTGCTGACGGAAAGAAACTCCAAGTTGGTAAGTCGCCCAAATGATTCCGGAAGGGAGGTTAGAAAGAGGCAGCTGTTCAGCTCCAGCAATTTCAGCGAGCTCAGATTGCCGAAGTCCCGCGGCAGTTCATCCAGGCTGTACATTTCGACCACTAGTTGCGCGAGTGACTGTAACGAGGTGAACGCATCTGGGAGTCGATCAACATCTCCGCCCTGGATCTTTAGGTTCCTCAACGAAGCGAGGCCGCTGACTGTAACAAGACGCCGGCGAACTCGTGTAACGAAGTTTCACCAGCTCAACAAAATCTAATTCGAGGTTGAAACCTAACCTCGAAATACACCCTTGAGGAATTCGAAGGTTGAATCCAACCTCGAATTGCTCGACCCTTCAATCTGAGTTTCCAACCTTGGTAACAACTACAGAGAGCACACAACCCAGCCAAGCAGCTTAGCATAATAATCGACAGCGCACCTAGCAGAAAACAACTACAGCCATGGTCTCTTCCAGCACAGCTGTGAGAGTACGACCCCGTTACACCACTTGTCCCTTTTCTTATTTCCTTCCTCTTTCATTTCTCTCTTTATCCCATCTCATTTGGTTTCCTATTTTCTCTTTCCCATTTACCTTTGATTTATCCTGCTATTATAATTATATCACCGACCAGGCTTGGGATGTACTGGTGCACTCTATCTAGCGTAATCCTGCCGTAATCCCTTAAAGCCAATAGCCTCGCGTGGCTATACACAGGGTGAGTCTATCTTCTAGAAGGGTCTATTCCCTTAAGATAAGATAAACCTGGTTACCTGATGTACTCTGGAAGTATAAAAGCGCCTTGTACTGATCGATAGTGCAATCTTTCCTTGAGACATTCGATCCTGTGACACTTGGTATCAAAGCTTTTCTCATTCGGCCGCGCTCAACAAAGCAGCAGCAGCGGGAAAACCTGCCTCGAAAAACCGCCGGGGGCGACCAATTCGACACTGATTCTGGTAAGCACCAGCTCCGCGTTTTTTTCGAATCACCCCCCCCGCGCGTGTTTTGAACAGGATGGCAACCTTCGAGAACGCCGAGGTTACCCAGCAGCTCTTCGCGCGCATCGCAGCCCTTCAGGAGGAGATGCGAGCGGATCGCAAAGTGTGGCGAAACAAGTTCGAGCAAGTAACTCGACTCGCCGGAGCGCAGCACGACTCAGTAACGGCGACGACGCAGCAGTTGCAGCAATTTCTCGAGGCTCCGAAACCGCCCACCTGAGCCGTTCGATCCGAGCGATCGAAACTCCGATGCCCGCAGATGGATCGCCGGGATGGAGATCTACTTCGCAGCCGTCAGATGGAGCTCGCCAGTCTGGGACGGACAACGCGTACGACTCGCGGCGACACTGATGCGAGGGCCGGCACTCGAGTGGATTGGCGGCAACAGTACCTTCATCCACGGTGAAGCCACGTGGCAGCAGTTCCGCGCCGACCTGCTGAAACGTTTCGAGCCGATAAATTCGTGTTTCCTTGCCCGGGAAAAAAATCATCGCCATCGACAGTTCGGGAGTGTAGCGCAGTACACGCAGCAGATGGAGGAATTTTATAACCGCATTCCCAACCTGACCGAAGGGGAAAAAGTACAATCGTACCTCGCCGGGCTGAAGACCGAAGTCAAACGACAAGTGGCAGCGTCAAACTACGCGAGCTACAGTGACGTCGTTTCGGCAGCGGAGCTCTTCGACATGGTCAACGCCGGGACACGACGGACGCACGTCGGCAGTACACGACAGGGCGACCGCTCGGCTCACCCCACGTTCGCCCACCCGATGGAAGTCGACAGGTTCGAGGGCGGCCACGTCCGAAAAACACCAACTACACGTGTGATTTTTGCGGGGTGCCGGGTCATCGAATCTTCGACTGCAACAAAATGAAAGCTGCACGCGCAGAGTATCGGGCACGCAACAGTGGCGGAATTCCTTCGCCCAATCAGAAGACAAAAAACGGGAGTCGCCAGTGATTGCGGATCTAGCTGGCGAAAATAAAAAGATCCGGAAGCGGCCGTGGGATTCCGGGAAAATCAACTTCGACGAAGCTGATTCGACGCGAGAAGGAGGAAATGATGGGGGAAAATCTCCACCCCACGACCAGACTTCGCCAGGGAAAATCGTCGAGGAAAAATACGACTCCGCGAAAAAAGACTCTGCCGAGACGGGGAAACTCCTTGAAGACCCAAGAAATTTTAAGGATTCGTTAAAGTTATCCTATAAAGATGCTTTAATGAAAACTTATGATTTTTGAGGGGCTAGAGCCTTGGAGAAATTTCGGGAGGGACTCCAAAAGAAGCAGACAGCTGTGGAGATTATACCGGTACCGGACAACTTGGGGAAAAAATTAAGGAGTGTGGAAAGAAGCCGACCTTTCCACGGAGTCAACGTCCTCTCCCGACACCAGCCCACAACGACTACCCGTTCCCCAGGGAAGACGTTGGTGGAGCTGAAGCAGCTCAAGAGGAAGCTGGGGGTCTACAAAAAGCTGCACAAACCCCGAACTCCTCCTCCGGATGCATCCAGTTGAGCAACTTCGGCATCAACGATGCGCACAATCGTCAAGGAAACTCCGAGCCCTGGAGAAGAGCCGTTCTCCAAGCAGCCTCGGCCAGCTGCCAGCTCAGGAGTAGATAACAACACAAAGGTGTGTACGGAATATTGGGATGTACCCTATGACCCAATAAATGAAACCATCTTCGGGTACTCCGAGCAACGCCTGCCCCTCGTGCTCGAGGTCATCTGCAAGGGACAACGCCTCCAAGCACTCGTGGACAGCGAAGCATCACACACCGTCTGCGACAAGGCAGTAATCGACCGACTTCGGGAAGAGTACAAGCCTTTAGGATTCTCTACAACGATGGTGGACGGAAGCAAGTTACTAGAACACGGCGAAGCAATGCTACACCTACAAATTGGACCACTGCACTGGAGACCTGCACTCCCCATCACCAACATCAAAGGGCTTGACTTGATCTTCGGGCGAGACTTCCGAAAAAGATTCAACCCCGAGATCAACTGGGTGAACCGCACCGCAAGTATCTACAACAATGGATGAAGAGTACAGCTACCCAACTGGGACGATACAGGAGATATCCCAGTGGAGACACTCGCACGATTCGAGAAGGACGTGAAGCGAATCGACACCGGGTTCCTGGCGATAGCAACAGAGGTGGAGAACGACGGAGAGAAGACCTCGGAACCTCCGGAAAAAATCAAGGAATTGCTGAAGGACTTCCAAGACATTCTTCCTGACGATCTTCCGAACGAGCTACCGCCATACCGCACACATCAACACGAGATCGTGGAGGAACCGTGTTCGAAGCCGACCTTCCGAGCACCATATCGGCTCAGCCCTACGGAGCTGATCGACATGAAAAAACAGATCGAGTATCTCCTAGCCAAAGGACTGATTCGACCATCTACTTCGCCATACGGTGCCCCTGTGCTCTTCACACCGAAATCGGACGGAAGCCTGCGCATGTGCATCAACTACCGAGCTCTTTACAAATAGACCATCAATAAATATCCGATTCCGCAAATCAATGACCTGCTTGACCAGCTTCGGGAAGCTACGGTATTTTCCAAACTGGATCTGCGGTCCGGATACTGGCAGATACGGATGGCGGACAACTCTATCCACAAAACTGCGTTCCGAACTCGGTACGGATCGTACGTGTATTTGGTAATGCCGTTCGGACTCACCAACGCACCGGCAACGTTCCAAGCCGAAATGAACCACATTCTACGACCACTTTTGGACGAGTGCGTGGTGGTGTACCTGGACGACATCCTCATCTACTCACGCGACATGAAGCAACACGTCGAACACCTGCGACGCGTCTTCGAAATTCTTTGACGAGAACGGTTCTACATCAAACTGTCCAAGAGCGAATTCGCCCTTGAGAAGGTCCAATTCCTAGGACACATGGTGAGCGCTCAAGGAGTTCACGTCGACCCCAAGAAAATTGAAGCCGTACGTACGTGGAAGACACCCGAGAACGTGAACGAGTTGCAGCAGTTCCTAGGCTTCGCTAATTACTACAACAGGTTCGTGCCACAGTATGCTCAAATCGCAGCACCACTCACGAATCTGCTGAAGAAGAACACGCCCTACAAATGGGAGCCGAAACACCAGGAAGCCGTGGAGCAGCTGAAACAAGCACTTACGTCCGCACCAGTACTCATCTTGCCAGATCCTGAACGCGACTACGTAATCCAAGCTGATGCTAGTGACCAGGCAGTGGGAGCAGTCTTAATGCAAGACCAGGGGAATGGACTGCAACCAATCGCTTACCTCAGCAAGAAACTGCATGGGGCAGAACTAAACTACCCGATACACGACAAAGAGGCCCTTGCCATCGTCATCGCCTTCAAAGCGTGGAGATGTTATTTCGAAGGACGAAGAACAACCGTCTACACCGACCACTGCAGCCTGAAATACTTGAAGACACAACCCAACCTTTCCAGGAGGCAGGTCCGTTGGATCGACTTCCTCGAGACACACTTCCACTACGATATCATGTACAAGCCCGGCCACAAAAACAAAGCAGACGCCCTCAGCCGGCCTGCACACGTTGCCGCTACTAAGATCGAAGGGATGAATCCACTACTCAAGGGACTCTTCACACACGGGTACGCCATCGACCCCGAAATTCCCTTGGCAGAAAAGCGACATCTGCTACAGTGGGACAGTGACATCACGTACCGGAAAGGATCGACGAAAATCTGGGTACCCAATTACCCTCCTTTGCGCCAGTTACTACTCGAAGAATACCACGACGTCCTCTACGCCGGACACTTCGATAGCAACAAGACGCTGACCGGTATTGCGAAACACTACTACTGGCCCCACTTGGCAGAGGATGTGCAGAAATTTGTCACCGCGTATGATACATGTCAACGGATGAAGAGCAGCAAGCAGAAAAAGGCGGGACTACTGCAGCCTCTTCCTATCCCAGAACAGCCATGGCAAGTGGTTAGCCTGGACTTCATCACCGGGTTACCACCTACCACCAGCGGTCATGACGCAATCCTTGTCGTCATCGACAAGTTCTCCAAAATGGGACACTTCATCCCGACACACACGACAGCACGCACCGAGGAGACAGCACAACTATTCGTTCGATACATCATCTCACAGCATGGCATTCCAACCACACTTATCTCCGACTGAGACCCCAAGTTCACCAGCAAGTTCTGGAAGGAACTTATGTCTCTGCTCGGGACCAAACTCGCCATGTCATCCGCTTACCATCCGCAGACAGACGGACAGACCGAGCGCCTCAACCAGATTGTCGAGCAACTCCTCCGAGCAGCCTGCAAGGACGAGATCTCCAAATGGGACTTGCACCTACCCGTCCTGGAGTTTGCCTACAACAATGCCACTCACGCCGCTACTGGCCAGACGCCGTTCTACCTCTGCTACGGACGCCACCCACTCACACCACAGAAACCGACAACATCTGCTACAGTCCAACCTGCGCATGATTTCATCACCACCATGCACCAGCTTTGGGATCGGACCCACAAGCGCCTCCTCGACATTCAGCAGCAGCAAAAGCGCCAGGCCGATCGCCATCGCAACGACCACACCATCACGGTGCGAGACCAGGTGCTTCTTGACACCCGCAACCTGGACATCAGCCACCTCCCATCTAAACTTCGACCTCGCTTCTGCGGGCCTTTTCTCGTTGAAGCACAGGTCACTCCTGTTACCTTCCGCTTACGCCTGCCAGCTACCTGGAAGATTCACAACGCCTTCCATGTCCAACTTCTGAAGCCCTATCGGGATCCCAACACGATCTTCGTCGGTCGCCAACCGCCGCCGCTGCCGCCCGTCCTCATCCAGAATGAACCCGAGTACGAGGTCGAATCCGTGCTTGCACACCGCCGTCGTCGGAATGGCACTGTGGAGCTTCTCATCCGTTGGAAGGGTTATGATCCTTCTGAGGACAGCTGGGTACCTGAGTCCGACATGGGTATCGCCCGTCGTCCTCTGCAGGACTACCTTGTCAAGCAGGGTGTTACTTCTACCACCCAGCTTTGAGGGGGGGAAGTGTGAGAGTACGACCCCGTTACACCACTTGTCCCTTTTCTTATTTCCTTCCTCTTTCATTTCTCTCTTTATCCCATCTCATTTGGTTTCCTATTTTCTCTTTCCCATTTACCTTTGATTTATCCTGCTATTATAATTATATCACCGACCAGGCTTGGGATGTACTGGTGCACTCTATCTAGCGTAATCCTGCCGTAATCCCTTAAAGCCAATAGCCTCGCGTCGCTATACGCAGTGTGATTCTGTCTTCTAGAAGGGTCTATTCCCTTAAGACAAGATAAACCTGGTTACCTGATGTACTCTGGAAGTATAAAAGCGCCTTGTACTGATCGATAGTGCAATCTTTCCTCGAGACATTCGATCCTGTGACAACAGCTATTTCTACAAACATCGTCAGCAACAGCAGTACAAGGAAGACTATGCTAGGATGCAATAGTTATTTCCTAGACTATGCATGCTAGTTTCTAGAATTCCAGCCAAGCTAAGTATGCATGCATGCAATCATTATCTATGCCTTGTTGTTCTTAGCTTAGCAAAGATGAGAAGCGACTTGGGCGACCTTCTAGAGGTGCCTTAGCCATTCTCCTTGTATATAGTAGTGTGCTTCTTGATTGGAAGCCATCATGTGATCTCTAGCAAAACTTCCTTGCTACTTTCACCTTTCAAATCTTCCAAGAATACCTCCTAACTCTACTATCTACTCCAAAGAGCCTAGTGGCTGTTCTACTGACTAACGGAGGAACGGCAGTCAGATTTGACTGACAGTTGGAAAAAAGGTCCTCCAGACAAGTGCACCCCTCTAGGAGGTAAGAGAGCCCTTCCTCGGTGAATCCCCCCCGTCTTTAGAGCTGTTGCATCAGATCGATTTGGAGAGCCGTCAGATCAGGACATGTGTTGGCTATCCGCGCGAGGAGGGAGTCAGTGACGGCCGTGAGACTGTCGAAGGCGAGGACGAGCTGACGAGAGGTGTGGGAGGAGCTTGCCAGGATGCATGCGACCCTTCTCGCAAACGTGCATGTGGTCCTGCACATGACAAGCAATGCAATGCCATTTCTTGCACACGAGTGCATGCTGGAACTGGCCGTCGGGTCGAGCGATGAGATGGAGGATGATGGAGAGAAGATTGTCTGATAGCCGTTCGATTGCCGATCCAATTGGCACTTTGAATAGTTAATGAATGGATGAAGACTAACGAAAGTGATGTTGAGTAGGGACGGCTGGCAGTAAGGTTCGCCGCAACAGTGAGTTTCGATCGAAGCAGTAGCGGGGAACTCTCTACAAGCGGAGGACCTAGCACAGGAAGAACTGGCTGAAGAACTGGGGATCAGGGCTCTCGCTAAGCCTAGGGTATTCCGTTAGGTCACGGAATCGGCCGCGAAAATAACCGTTAGCAGACGGGATCGCCGAGAATTTACCTGTTAGCATACGGATTCGTCGAAGAGCTACTCTTGGTTTGATACTAACATCCTTGAATGCAAATGGACTGTTTCTCGCGCATACTCCGCTTGAGGCAATTGGAAGAGTAGAAAAACTCCTGGCAACTAACCCCGCGCTTTGCTTAGTGGAGGAAGTTGGGAAAGGTAGAGGGGAGGGTGGGAAGGGGTGATACACCACTACAAACAGATCTCCTACTACAAATGCACTTTGTACGGAATCAAAGAAAAGTAACCCGCAATGTCAAGGAATCACACGAAAAGTACTCCGTTAGGCAGACGGAATCAGAAAACTTTTACTATGCGAAAAAACGGAATCAGGTCGGAAACAACTCTTAATTTCGTAACATTAAGGGTAATTGCCCTGTTAGCCACAGCCCTGCTGTGGATATATAAATATGCTCTCTATTACGAACTTGCCATCATCACTACCTAATTACCACCACAAGCTGACGCTGATTCGAGGGCGTGGTGCAGGTTAAAGGCTGAGATTCAGACCTTCAGCGGGATTGTAGACGGCGTGGAAAACATTCAGAAAGATATGGCGCGGTGCAATACGGTGGAAGGCTGGGAAATTAGAGTTTGGTTCGCCAAATTGGTTGGTTTGTGTTGCATATTAGAACCTCCATTTGTATTTGCCCTCGAGTTTCCCCCCATTCAATAGTACAGCTGGAGCCGCAACGGACTGATTCGCGTTGAGTTTGGCCAGGAACATAAGAAAATGTCTTCACAAAATAAGTAAAGACCCCTCATTAATGTGTAATGGTGTGAGGTGATTCCAGTGCCTACACTGATTATCATCGCACAAAAGGTTACTTTGGGTCTCACAACTGTGAAAACTGTAACGTGTTAGCCCTTTAATCATTGTAGTCAATGCTCATGCACTTCTTGCTTGTGTTATTGACAAAAACGTTAAAAACAAAGCTACAACACTACAGTGAAGTTTTCTGTCAGGTTACACATTCACACAGCAAGCAGACTGGTGGTGACATTTGGAACGTCAGCAACAATAGAACCAAGAGTCATGTATGCAGGCATAGTAGAAGAACAGAATTTCCATGAACGTGATGCCGTAGAATCATAAATTTGCACCAAGCGGCACCTCCCAGTAGCTCCATTATTCAGAATCAAAGGCAAGTCACAAGGGTGCAGTCAGTAGCAGCAGAGGGAGAAGTGCAGATGCCAAGCCATCTTGGTTAACATGCATTGCAACAGAATATGTGTGCACTGGTGCCCCACTGCCTCCCTTGCGTCGCCCCTGCTGAGTTGCTTGAAGCACCATTCATACTCTTGGCTGGTAGAATGGAGTCCAAGGGGAAAAGACGGATAGAA